GTGTTATGGAGGTAAGCAAAATACACTACATTTTAGACTTGTATGTCGTATCACTTAATTGTTCACATAGCGGCGAAATTTAGGTCACAGAGGCATACGTGTTCAACAATGCATCAGTCCTTTTCAACGAGTACCACCCTTACGGAACTCTTTTGGTAAATTTTTAGATGGATATCTTGGAATTTTTCTTGTCATATGTCATTTTATGTTTGTAGAAAGTTTTTTCCATAGGATCTCTCAAACAAATGGATCGATCCAAGCTGGTACATTGTTGCGTTAGTAGGAATCCAAATGGCAAAAATCCTTCGTGAATTACATGCTGTAAACATCATTCATGGAGACATCAAACCTGATAATTTTATGATTCTTAGGAAGTAAGTTTAACTTAGATTTGTTATTGTATCTCTTCAATCTTTTTCTAGGCTGAGCGAATGTCATGACGACATTGAGCAAATTCTTGCGACACCCATATTGAAGCTGATAGACTGGGGTCGCGCAATCGACATGCGTGTTTTAGCTGGGCACACATTCACTGGACGTGCGGGTACCGACAAATTTGACTGCTCTGAGATGCTGGTAAAGTCTTACTCTTTTCGTTGTGCCGGTTTCTTTTTTCGAAATTGTTTTATAAGGTCCTTACTCTGAATAACTTGTTTTGTTTACAGACGTTTACAATAACTCTATACATGTAAATGCATGCGTAGAAAATTTTTCGCCAGTATTCAGTACGTGTAGTATCAGAGCATTTTCAAAGTATAATTTTTAATTCTAAAGTTGTTAAGGTACTGGAAATTTCTTCAAATCTTCGTCTTACTTATTTTTTTTCCAAATAATGACAAAGAGTAGGCCTTCTGAAGGCTGGTAGTCATATTCAAGTTCTAGATATCTCTCCATCTTTAATATTACCTCTCATCGCGTTTAGTTTTTGCATATATCAATATACCTTATTAATCGATTTGTGCGGACAAATTTATATGCGATTTGCCAGATATTCAGTTCAAGCGTCGCAAAGGTAATTGATTGTGTTGGTTATTTGCTTAGTTCGGTGAATATCTATACTTTTGACATTTCTGATATGATACAATGCAAGTCCACTCAAAAAGGAGTAATCAAAAATGAGTTAGTGAGCATCAAAATCTGCGCTTGATTGCTATAAGCTTTTTGTCGGCTTTGGAACTTTACCTATGAAATTGGTTAGGTTAGATGCACATATTCTTCTCTCTTCACTCTGATACAGCTTTCTTGCAAGCGCTATTTTAGTGCCGTGCATCAATTCT